CCCCCGGCTTCCTTGACAGGCAGTTTGCTTGTGTGTGTATAATTTAGTTTAAAAAAGGTGTGTCATATCTAGCCTGCCTTCATATAACACAAAACAATACTTGATAATATAGGCCTTTTTTGGTTTTGCTTTTTTTTTTTTTTCATTTCCCTTTGAAGGTATTATTCTGTTTCATTTTTGAGAGAAATAATATTTGAAAAAAAAACCCAGTTAAAATCTTGTTTCTTCCGAACGTTTAATATTTTGATGTGACCCATTGTGCCTCTACGCTATTCTCCCAAAATTGGCACAGGAAAGAAAAGAATGAAAATGAAAATAAGAAACCATAAACCAAAAAGAGAAATTGGACATTTTATTTGAATATTTCCAATCCAGTACCTAATATATCAGAAGGCAATACTAAGTTTAAAAAATATTTTGATTTCTTTTGCCTTTCGGTCCGTATGTATATAAGTTTAAAAACTCATACACATACTTTGGAGAAAGGGCAATAAGTTGGCAGATAGGAGATATAGCCACTTAAACGTATGCGTATGGGCGTAGGTGTTTAGCTTGTGATACCCAAGTTTGAAAACACTTGCCTCTGATTATTCAGATAGGTTGTCACCATGATGGCTTTATTATTGTCAATACTTCTGTGGCTTGATAAACGTAGTCTAAGAATCCAAATGCATGGAGAAATGATGAACTATAACACTCAATAGGATGTCAACTCACTACATTTCCTTCTAGATTCTAAGCTGCTTCTTCCCCTTTGCCCTATGTTTGCTATGGCTTAGGCTAGATAGTTCTAGTCATCATTGCTGAACAAAAAACAGTCAAATCATTTCACTGTCCCTTGCCTGAACCATTAGGATACCGCTCATACATGGAGTTAATAATGAAAGACAATTACAAATGATACTAAATTCCATTTCCCCCCCAAAGTTGTCTATAAAGATTACAAAGTGGCATATAAAATACCTCCATGCTCTGGGAGAAAGGGTCCTTAGGATCACATAGTGATGAAGATATTCGGTGGTTGCCACGGAAACAGCGCTGACTTATGTTTTGTGGAACTGGAAACGTCTGTCGAATAATTGTTAACCTTCCAATTGACCTTCTCACTAACTCCTGCACATCCACATCATTTATTTCCTATAAGATAAGGCAGAGAATATGTAGAAAAGTTAAAATACAGAAATGTCACTACCATATTATAAATGAAAAATAAACTGAAATTGCCAAAAGATGTGTTATCACTCTGCCACATTTATTCAGAGCTGTGAAGTCCCCAACTAAGAACACATGCACATTCATTAAAATGGTAGACCTACCATATCCAAGTTCATTTCACAAGTGCTTAAGTATGCTATACCAAACCATAAAGAGATCTGTAACTGGGATCAGACCTTTTTTTTAAAATTTTACCTTTGATCTTTTGCTTTAAAGTGTTTCACAGCATCATTAGCAGATAATATTTATATCAGTAGGAAGTCAAAGCATGAACTATTAGTTAGTGTGGCATTACATTAGGAGCTGTGGAGGTGCAAACAATTATTCTGATCTTAAGTGTTCATTTCTTGGAAACAGAATATGTAAAAGTATAAACAATTTAAGAGTTAGCTAACATAATTTACCAAAATGGCTAAGACAAATACATTGAAGTATTCAAAGAGTGTATGTGTTTATGTTTTTTTAAAGAGATCTAATTTTAAAACAACCTTTTACTCCATGGGTATCTACAAAGACTGCAATTTGTATACAATAGGCATTTACAGATGTGCTCCAGAAGTGGGGTTGGGAAGGGTGTGCTGTAATTTAGAGTGGCTCCGAGAGCCACTCTAATTAAAGCGTGCCCAGAGTGTCATGTGTATCAGAATCCCTGCGCTGAAAAATTGCAGCGGGGGTGCTTTAACTAAAGCTTGTCAAATGAACTTTAGTTAAAATGCCCCTGCCACTATTTTCCAGCATGGGATACTGATACATATGACACTGGAGTCGGCTGGAGCATGGTAATTACCACACTCCAGCAGATTTGATTAATCAAGTCTGCTCTGACATGCTGTAATTACAGTGTCAAAGCAGCCTTGCTGCATGTGTATAGGCACCCAATATTGAGCTAGGGACAAACAATTTAGAGAAAACTAAATAAATAAGTTTGCATTTTTTTTCATTTCAGGGAGGAAAATCCTGTGTGTACATGTAAGGAAAATGTTACAGGAGCAATAGGAAACAACAAAAAAAGGGTGACACATAGAGGGTGCATCTACACATGTGCTTTACTGTGGAGTTGACATCTGTGCATTTGTCTGTATTACGGTACAGTAAATTAATTAAACCTGCCATTAGTACTGTTGGAGACAGTACTATCTTACAGCAGCATCATTCACTGCCTTGAAACACACGTGTAGATAGTGACCAGGCAGGGTCAGACTCCTGCCTGGCACCTAGTCACACAGCTCCACAAGTTCTGCTCACTCATCCCTCAGCCAGCCCCTCCACCACTCAGAGCCCAGGGCTGACACCCTGAGCCTACTGCCCTAGCCCCAAGTGCTGCTGTCCTGGGTGCATATATGGATGCTACTCTCAGGAGAAGAATCTGAGCTGGTAGGGGAGGCAGGGATAGGTAGGGTGTTACACTAATGCGTAGCCCACGGATTGTTAACCATGGGTATGTGTACACCTGGGGGTAGTTGGGAAAGCCCTAGGGAAGGCCACCCACCACCCCACACCACTGCCTCTGCCTCCCAGGAACAGGGCTGGGTGAGGGGGGGCAAGGGCAGTGATGGTTCTCTGTGGTCTACGTAGGTGCTGCCCATTTGGCCAGATGTGTGTGTGTTGGGGGGGGGAAGCTTGAATGTGGCAGCTCCCACTGCCATCCACCCCATGATGCAGCCATGTGCCCCCCCGACCTCTCTGCATCTTGTTGTGCGCCACCTGGCCTCCCCCCGCTCTGTTTCTGGCTGCTGGGTGTACACTTATTAAAAAAGGTTGAAAACCTCTGGTGTAGCCTAAAATGTCACACATTAGTATAACGCAAGCTGGGGAACATGGATCACAGATAAACATACCCTAGAGTGGCGTAACTTTAAGATGCCTAAAGGGAGCTTAAACTGGTGTCACATTAGAGGTGTGCAACCCTTCAGTCTCCAATTCAATTCGGAAAAGATTTGGCCCAATTCAGAGGACGAATCATTGAATCTGAATCAAGTCAGGAAAACAAGAAAAAACTCTGAATCAATTTGGAGCCTCCGAATAGATTCAGAAAAGATTCAGAAGGCAGTCTTTCAGGGGAACAGAAACTGAGAAGAGGGAGGGGGAGTGGGGGGGGTGAAGACTGACATCTGTACCTGGCCAGTGACTGTGATCTTTCCCTGTGTCCCCTTCCAACCACAGTGCTCTGGGGGAGGGATGTAGAAACAGCATATAAGCCTCTCTCTGAAGCCTTTCTGTGCCTTTTGTGATCTGTTTCTACCTGAGCAACAGCATCTGAAAGGTACTGGACTTGCATGGCTTCTTGCCTAGTCAGTCTCCTGCTACTTTCTACTCTTGGAAAGGATTGGATATAGCTTACTAACTAGAATACCTCTATTTGTCCCTATCCAATCCATTTCTTTCAATTTATATTTGTTCTTGTTTGTTTTTCCCATCCCCCAACCTTTTTTTTTTTTAAAAGCTGCGTTTTCCCTGGCAGTGGGTGACAGGGGGCAGTTCTCAGGGCCGAATCTTCTGCCAGCCCATCCACCTAGCTCTATGGGGAAGTCTGCCCAATCTATCCTGCCACAACTTGGTTATTTCCAGAAACTGATGGTATAATGCGGGAGACTGCCCATTACTGCCCACATGCCAGGGGGCTCTATCTGTGGCTCC